GAGAGAGAGAGACAGAAAGACAGATAGACAGACAGAGAGAGACAGACAGATAGACAGAGAGAGAGAGACAGAAAGACAGATAGACAGACAGAGAGAGACAGACAGATAGACAGACAGAGAGAGAGACAGACAGACAGATAGACAGACAGAGACAGACAGATAGACAGAGAGAGACAGACAGACAGAGAGACAGACAGATAGACAGACAGACAGAGAGAGAGAGAGAGAGACAGAGAGAGACAGACAGACAGATAGACAGACAGAGAGAGAGACAGACAGACAGACAGATAGACAGACAGACAGACAGATAGACAGACAGAGAGAGACAGACAGACAGACAGACAGACCTGCAACTCTTTGTCGGCTGCCCTGGCCAGCTCCCCAGCCAGTGAGTCCAGTTTCTGACGGACCGGCCCATCTACTGATAGGACGTGGGCCAGCTCACAGAGGGAGGGATAGAGCTGGGGGAGGGGAAGAGCCGTCATTATAAATTAAAATACATCCCACAGAAACACAAACACACACATGTGTGTACACACACCCACACAGGTTTGTAATTATACCTTTGTGGAGACTCTCCATTAATTTCTACTGGGAAAACTCTAATCCCAACATGACGACCTTAACCCCTACAGATCCCTATCCTTAACCATACGTAACCAAACAAAATACATGACTTTTGGCATTTGTAGTTTTTTGATTGCATTCACAGATTTTTATGAAATTGAGGTTATCCGTGTGGGGACTTAAAAAATGGTCAAAGTAACAGGGGCTGGTTGCACAAAACACCTTAAGTTTTGACACTTAAGGTTTAATTTCTCCTTAGCTAAGGGATGGTCGCCTTAGTTAAGGAAAAACATTAAGGGATTTACAACATTGAAAGACATTTTACAGCAGTATAATCTCGGTCTTGTTTCCATGGAGACCGTTCATATGCTTGCACTGGCGCCTGCTTGTGATACCCGTTATCGTTACTCACAAAGTCAAAAAATGGGAGAAAAGAAGACAAGAAAGCCAAATTGGTCAGAGGAGGAAAAGATTATACTTTTGGAGGAATACAATGAAAGAAAGAACATATTAAAAAGTAAATTTGATCCGCAAATAACAGCAAACAGAAAACAACGAATGTGGGAGGAAATTGCAATGAAAATTAATTCAAGAAGTCTGCATTGTGCTACAACGTTAGTTATTTTATGTTCATGATTGCAAACTAACTGGACATTGATTGAATATAGATTTTTTTCTGTTAATAAATTGATCTTCATATTGTACGGGAGCTTGAATCATAATGTGGGTCCCATCTATCACCCTCTTGGGAAGCCGGCTACATTAAAGAAGTGTGTCGCTATTTCATCCTCTTCTTGTTTAGAGGGGAATTTCACCACGGTGTTCAACAGGTGGGCAATAGCGTTTGAAATTCGGTGAATGACGCGGCACACCATTTACTTGTGGACATGAGATACATCGCCTATTACAGCCCTGAATGAGCCCATAGCATAAGACTCGCAGAGCAACGCAGCTGGGAAAGCACGGCTTCGGATTGTGGAGTGATCCAACTGTAGACAGTCGGACAAATCATAAGTTGACTGCCGGTCAAATTTATAAAGCAAAATCAAATCGTATCTAAGGGGTTCTCCCGGTCACGGAAAACTCTTTTTGGGATGCGTTCATTTTCGTTATTTATTATAATTAACTCGGCCATGTTGCAGTTAAGGTACGGCTAGACTAGAGGTACCTTAATTTTTTCCCCTTAGTTTGGTTGCTAAGATCTTTTGTGCAACCGTTAAGGGATTCCTTAAGTATAAGACCAAGATAAGGAGAAAAACTTAAAGACTTAAGAGAAAATTTTGAAGAAAACCTTAAGGAGGAGACTTAAGGGTGTTTTGTGCAACCGACTTTATTTTAAAGAGCCCCACCCACACACACACACACACACACACACACTCACTCACCGCGCGTGAGTTACGGGCCTCCTTCAGCACCTGCTTGCCCGACTGAAGCTCCTCCCCCCGGCCCGCCCCCCTCAGCACGCACAGCTGCTGCTGCACACGCACGCACAGGCGCTCCATCACCTGTAGGGGGCAGAGGGAAGCAGGGGGCGTGGAGGATCCAGGCTGGGACACAGAAAAGCTATGGGATAGCCCCTCCCTGCCGGCAAATGCCACGCAGGTAACAGGACGCCCACAAGGGGGCGGCGAACCGGCAGATCAGTGTGACATCACTGTGCCACCCGCATCTACTATTTCTGTCTAATGACTCTTCCCGCAGAAGGACAGGGCAGCGGCTCCAGGTCTTCATGCATTAGCAGATGGATGAGGGCCCACCTGCTCGGCCGTGCTGGTGACCAGTCCCTGGTGGAGGCGCAGCGCCTGACGCTGAGAGAAGCGCTGCGTCTGGTTGTTCCTCAGCAGCGCCCTCTGGATCTGCCTCCCCCACATCGTGGAGGGGGGGGGGAAAGGGAAGTAGAGATGGGAGAGTAAAAAAAAGGAGGTGGGAGCAGAGGTTCTTATTACAGTGATGTATGAGGCGGTAAGGTGCAGATGCGTCAGCGGCCAGCAGGGGGCCGTCACGCTGCGGCCTGCAGCCCACATCCCAGCATCCCCCCCACCCCTGCAACCTTGGCCAGGGCCTGCTCTGTCTTGTCAGGGCTGCTGCGGTACGCCTGGGTGACATCACTGAGGGGGAGGGGCATGTACTGCAGGGTGAAGTTACTGTGGGAGGAAGTGCGGGGGGAGCCAGGGGAGGGAGGGAGGGAGAGAGAGAGAGAGAGAGAGAGAGAGAGAGAGCATACTGTAAGGAAACCTCAGTTTGGCTACCATGACATTCATCTGACAGCTTCCCAGTGCCTTTGTGTCTCCATATTGTAATTTCAGCATCTTTAACGGTATATAATAAAACATGTATTTGATGGAGAGAGGGAGCAGGGGAGAGGGAGGAAAAGGGAGAGAGTGGGATGGAGAGAAAGGGAGAAGCAAAGGGAGAGAGAGAGAGAGAGAGAGAGGGAAGCACATTGTAAAACTGTAAAGAAACCTCTGGCTTGCATGCGAGTCCGGTGACACCCTCCCAAATCCCTGTATCTTAATCTCAGCGCGTGGCGTGTAGCACGGAGCGCCTATATCCTGTGCACATGCATTCACGTGTCACTATGAGCAGCAGGTGACGGTGCCGGCAGGTGATGCAGCGGCTCTCACTGTTCCAAGGCTCGAGCGATGTCCAGGAGTCCCGTGGCCGTGGTGCTGTTACGGTCCCATGTCACGCTCCTAAAGACGGAACCATACTGTTTACATCCCGCAGACAATAGCGTGAATATGATACTGCACTCCCCTGTGTATATTTCACACTCAACTACTGGTTTAAAAACATATGTACATATAAATGTGACCATTTCACATTACTCAAGAAACTCATTCTATCCATCTACCTTCTGTAACCTCTTGTCCTATTCAGAGTCATGGGGGGTCTGGAACCTCGCACAGAAGCTGCAGGCGCGAGGCAAGGAATGACCTAGGATGGGATGCGAACCCATTGCAGGGCAGAGTCACGCACCATTCACTCACCCAAGCACAGCGATGGACAGTTTGGTAATGTCAATCAGCCTCAGCATGTTTTCAGAATGTGGGGGGGGGGGAGACTGGAGGAAACCCCACGGTGACACAAGGAGAACATGCAAACTCCACAGACATGGAACCCGGGCAGAGACCCAAACACCAGTCCCTGAAGTGTGAGGCAACAGTGCTAACCACAATGCTATTCTACCTCATGAACTGAGTCTACTACCTCAATTTCTTTCGATCTGTCCATCGCCCAAGCACATGTTCAGAACAGGGTCTCTGGGCCTTAGGAATACGCCATGTGGATTAACTCCCCCTAACCTGAGTGTGGTGTTGATTTGCAGGGCCTTCCCCAGCATCTTGGCCCCCATGTCCTCCAGGCTGTTCCCACTCAGGTCCACCTTGCGGAGGCAGGTGTTGCTGCCCAGGGCGTTCACCAGCACGGTGCCCCTCGAGCGGAGGCGGGAGTCCGCCAGCGAGAGCGACAGCAGCCCCTGCAGGCGGGAGGCCGTCATGACAGAAACGAAGAGAGAGAGAGAGAGAGAGAGAGAGAGAGGGAAGGAGAAGGAAGGGATTTAGATTAGGAAGAAAGAACAGAGTTTGGAGTGTAGGCATGTAAAATGATGGAGAGAGAGAGAGATGCAGCAAGAGGGGTCACTTTAATTTATTCAAATTGCCTTTATTGTTAGCTCTCACTGTAGCAATCATGGTGAAATTTTAAATTCAAATGAATCTTTCCAGCTTAACAATGGCCGCTGTTGACACAGCAGAGGAGGACAATCTCGCAGAATTCAGCATCCGACGGGCGTCTTCTGCCACGCCGCGTTAACCGTGACCAAAGACGATGAAAAAGACACCCTGTGTTTATTTAAATCATCCTCCATTTATAGTCCTCTATTTCTGCTCCGAGCGCTTATTATGGGATGCTGTGCACCAAAAAGGGGGCGTGGCCGAGGGGGCGTGGGTCCGGTGGCATGTGGCACTCACACACTCTTCTTCCTGAATGAGCTGAACCAGGTTCTGCAGAACTTCATCCAGGACCCTGCAGGCAAAGCCAACGGAACCGTGTTTAGGTCACGCTCACAGTCACCATGACCATAGGGGACAATATTGATTAGGCTTTAGACAATCAGTGTGTGAGGTCTTTGAGGACAATGACCAATTCCGGTGCAGAACGTCAGCTTCTCATAAAACAACGATACACTTTGTGTGTATTACTCTCATGTTCAAATGAGAAAACCAATCAGTCAATGAAATTTTCATTTCCTATAAGCATACTTTTTGGCAAGCAGGTTTCGAAAAAGCCCCTTGTGGTAGATAAAATTGCTCAGAATCAGAGTCCAGTTTATTGGCCAAGTATGTTCACACACATTCTGGCTCTGTTTCTGAATTAAAATTAAAAAGAGGAAATAAACCTGTTTCTAAAGTTTTTTTTTTTTGGAATCTCAGCAGTATAGACCCTGATACAAATGTCTCGAGACGTGGGATAAAAACAGACCCATCACCTCTAGGGAGAAAAGAAAGTCTGCGAGCGTGTAAAGACAGAGCAGAGAACGAGAACGAAGTGGATGGATCCAGCCCTTGGTAGTGACATGACTGGCTGATTGGAGTTCACCTCTTACCTGCCTGATTAAACCCGTCATTTTGATAGCAAATTGCTGCACCTGCTGCTCTAAAGACTAACGTGAGACACATGCAGGTATTTCTGTTTCTTCCCGCCACTTGTTTTGATGCCACGAATGATTCATTCTGCCGTCGCCAACTCAAAGAACGGGAGAACCACAAGTCTGATTTTCCCAAAGGCGCTGTCTTTGCATGACCCCGAAAAGGTACCAAAATGTGCACACATACACATAGCCCATGTATGAATATTCCATTCATTTCAATGGGAAAAACCCTAATCCCAACAATGACAAACTTAACCCCAACCTAGCCCTAAACTTAACCACAAGTAACCAAACAAAATACAAGACTTTTGGCTATTATAGTTTTTCGATTATAACCACAGATTTTTATAAAACTGAGTTTTATCATTCTGGGGACTGTAGAAATTTCCCCACAAGGTCAAAAGGTCACAGGTTTTTTAATCACATTGTGGGGAAATGTGGCCCCTACAATGTAATAATTACAAACACACACACACACACACATGCACGGCCTGTACCTGTTCTTGATGTTGAAGTTTTTTCCCAGGAAGAGGTGCTTGATCGAAGGGTGCCGGGACAAGGCTGATAGGACAGCAAGCAGGTCCGCATCCAAGCCTGGTAAGAGAGCAACATCACACGACTTTACTGTATCCATACTCCATCCATATGACAGTGATACTCAACTGGTGGCAGATACAGGGGTGGGGCCACAGGAGCACTGGCCCCAGCTGAAAGCTGATTGGGCCCCTGGAGTGTCCCTCACCAATTCAAAACATATCATTGGCTGATGATAAGCTTATGTATGAATTAAATGCCCCTCTTTTGTTTTTTTATAGTACCAACTACTCTGCAACATCCATTTATCAGTTACACATGCCAAGCTACGAATGAGGCTTTAGAACCCTGTGTGGGTGGAGTTATGTTTTACCTGTCAATCAAAGGCTTAATGCTCTTCACATTGGCTCCCACCAGGTTAAACTAAACAGTGATTGGCAGTCCAGGATAGTCCCACTCATTGCACACACACAACCCACCATTGTCAGAGATGTCCAGGGTGGCGATGGAGGAGACCCCCGGCAGCAGCTCTTGAATTACTGCCGCTCCAGCCGATCTGAGCTGGAAGAGAGAGGGGGGTGGGAGTGGGGGGGGGGGCTTCTGAGCTCAGCGAGCGTGTGGGTGTGAGCGGCCGTCTGGCTACATGCGATCGCGTCTGCGGACCAAAACACGGGTCAACGGGGGCGTTCACCAGAAAAGTACGAAGGAGAAGATGGGAGGCAGGCAGGTAGAAGGTGAGAGAGTGCAGAAGCGGGATGGAGAATGGATGGCAGCCTTTAATCTGAGCTCTATGAAAGAAAATGATGAATTCGAACAGTTAGGAGGAGGCCGAGCGTCTAACAGGAACATCTGCGATTCCCACATGCCCCACGGGCAAATGACCTCACGGTACCTCACAGCCGCTGACGTCCAGGTGCAGGTCGTTAATGTGGGGGTTGGAGCACAGTCCGAGGAACAGAGCCCTAAGGGGGGCGGGGGCGGGCGGGGCGGGGGCGAGCAAGATGAGGTCACATTTCTTTATTCGTGTAGTAATTTCCATGCATACATTTTGATGAAACATGATTATATAACACGCAAAAATAAACTATTATTCTGTTGTCCATATATTTCTTTACGTAATATCAGCCTCACATGTATTTCTCCTTAAGCTGATATATCTCTGTTTTATTATAAAGCTAAAATGTATGAGTCTTTGCCTGAATCATCCCGCACGTGACCCATAGACCACAGGACGCCTCTGAACAAGGGGGGGGGGGGCTTAACATCACGCCCATTTCGCTGTTTCCTTTCCTCAGCTTTCCTTCTCCCTTTCCTAAATTATCAATGCCCACTCACATCTTACACCTTTTTTTGCCTCGCTAAGCATCCTGAGATTTGGCTAATGCTGCTCATGCTGTAACATTAAATATACAGTCTAAAACTAAAAGAAAAAAAAAGCGCAGATGTATTTTGGGCTTTTATTAATAGAATTTTAGTGTTTGCATGAATTTTTTTGTAGATATATATATTTTTTTGCGTTATTGTTCATCACTGCATTCTTAATGGTGCTCCAAGCAATACTAGCCCCCTGGCCCAGGTGCCCCCCTGCTCGCGCTGACCACCATGCCAGCCGGTGGCGGCCATCTTGGTGAATGGCGGCTGACTCACCTCAGGGCCTCAGGCGGGAGCTTCATGGAGGCCAGACTGATATGTGTGAGGCTGAAGGCTGAGCTGAAGAACTGCCGGAACGTGGGAAGGGCCTCCTTCCCCTTCCTGAAAGGAAGAGGGGTGACTTTACTCACGCCGTTGACAGGAAGTCAACACCATAGCACTATGACTACCATCATGGGCAATTCAGCCCAATCGTTTTTCTTCAAATAGAGCTTCATTTTAATTTGACAGTGAAAACAACAGTGATTGGCTGAGGAGGAAGAGGGCGGGGCATGGAAATCCTCCTGAGACCCAGCAATTAAGTTTTTGCTCATATCTCTCATACTATACATCCCACAAGTCCTGCTGTCATTTAAAGAAGACATATATGGCTTTAAGATCACTGGAGTGGGGGTGTGACTTTGCCAACTTCCCCTTCCTGTCAAATCAACATTTTCATCTATATTTGAAAAGTTTATTTTCTCTGTGTTTCAGACACTTTGTGGTTCCTCCAGTATCCTCAGGACAAACTGCTCCACGGTTATTGTAAAATATCAGGCTGGTACTGACCTGTGAGAGAAGAAGTTTTTAGAGAGGTTCAGGTAGGAGAGATCAGCACAGCATCCCTGGAGCAGAGGCCCAAACAGCTGGATGGGAGGGAGGGTGTGTGTGTGTGTGAGAGAGAGAGAGAGAGAGAGAGAGAGAGAGAGAGTGGAGTGAAAGTGAGATTACTTAATGGTTTCTAAAGGTTACATAAATGTCAATGGCAATATCAGTTGATGACGACATTTTTTTTATTACGGTGTTTATTAAAATTTGTCAAGAAATTAGCTGTGTAATTTTGACACGATTAAAGGCTTTGGATACGCATATAAACTATTAGTCATTTAGACAACCTTTAAACATTTATTAGACATTTAGGGTGGAAAATATTGCATTTAATTTTTTTTAGGATTAGTTAGGTGGGTGTGATTGCACCCCACATGAACGAAGAGCGTTCGCTAACTCACGAACCGAGTCTACGGCGCAGTCTGTGGCGGACAGATCCAAATGGACCAGGCAGTTGGGCTGGGACAGGAAGAGGTACAGGTTCTATAGAGAAAGACCAAAGAAACATTACATTTTATCTCCAGGGAAGCCACAAGATAGAGCTGAAATATGCTACTTATTGAAATATGCTCCCCTTACAGGGACTGTAACACTTTGCACAGTAAAACCATACTCAGGAGTGGCCCTGAACAATCTCACAGGCTGCTAATGTCTAAGGTAGGAGAATGGCTGCATATTTAATCAACTGTCCAGACTGAAGGAATGAAGATGAGAACGAGGTAATGGAGATGACAAGTACTTTCAGGATGAAGAGAATCGTTAATATAAATCAAGATTAGTGAGATGTTACGAGGGGGTTATATGTGCATGAAGGTAAGACGCCGGGAAAATGACCGGGATGAAGATGAGGTTTAGGAATGATGAGGAGGAGCCGGTTACTAAGGAGACAATGAGAAAGGGATGCTGAGGGTGACTAGGAGTGAGTGGAGTAGATGGCAAGGCGGCGAGGGGTAGGTGAGGTACAGGGCTGCGTGATGATTAAGATGAAGGACGACGAGGGTGAGATGTTCCTGGGGATGAAGGTGTGGGGGAGACAGAGATGATAGCATTATGAGGAGACACTCTGAGGAGCATGAGTGTGCGAAGAGGAAGAACGGGGGTGGGGTCGCAGCTCCCACCGAGGCATCCTCTCCGGACAGCACCCCTGGGTTCCTGCTGAGGTCCAGGTGCAGGAGCGAGTTGGAGTACTCATCCGTGGAGCAGAGAGCCTGAGAGAGGGACACCACTCCTGGGGCGGGGGAGAGAGACAGAGATTGGGAGAGATTGTTAACAGCTGATAAAACCTCTTACATTAGCGTTTTACCAGAGGGCATGGTCGCAGGCAAACCTGCACAACATCAATTAAAAAAAAGAAATAACTCAGCATCCTTAGGGACCCACAGTTAGTCCATATTTTTGCTCCCTCCGATCTCCCTGCCAGACAGTCCACAATTTTGCTCCCTCAAAAACAAGGGCTGTCTGTGGGTCATTGAGGACCGGATTGGGAAACACTGCCCTAAAGAACTTTTACAGTACATTACAGTAAGACCAAATTCTTAGTTTGTCAGTTTGCTAGCGAAGTGCCGCTTTTGATTACTCTGGCAGTCTTCTCTCTTCCATACTGCTCTCTGTCTTTATTTATCAATTTATTTGATTTTTCTTTGTAACTTTTAATGACCTACAGCAATCTTTTACCGTGAGGCAGCTGAATCAAGTCAATGTAGGCTGACTCTCTCACCCTTAGAGGAGAGCGAGGTCTTGGACAGGTTTAGCAAACGGAGGCCTTTGCTGAGGCGGCAGACCTGCTGAATGAGGTTGGAGACTCCTGTGGACACATGGAGCACAGTGCTGACACTGTGATATGTGACAACAACCTAAATATATATAATACACACATACTGTACCTAGAAAGCTAGGCACTACAAATATGGTACTACTAGGCAGATCTTACTACTGTTACTGTTTGTCACTATACTATACTATACTATACTATACTATTAATGATGTTACATTTAGCTTAATGATACATACAGGCAGCTCTCAGCTTATAGGTATTAGTAGTATATCTTTGGATTATTTGTTTTTTGCTCTGTCCTGAATGGTTTGGGGAATAAATCTGACAGAAAAATCAGACTTGCCTAAGGGTTTGGGGAATAGATTACTTACATTATTAAATAATTGCCTGTAACATACTGTGCTGTACTGCACTATACTACTATAGTGAACTATGCTCTACCAAACTATACTATCAAAAATTTAAGCTAAAAAAAATTAGTATAATGATACTAGAATACGGTACATCTGTATGCGAGAGAGGCGACAGGACAATGCCACTCTGATGAGAGAGACAGGCAGATATAGAGAACAGGGCAGCTGCAAGTGTGATGTTGGCATGACAGACAAACAAGGAGGTCAGACAGACATCAGAGAACGTCAAAACCCCGGTGACAGGCAACAGGACGGAACACGACAGAAGGGCGGCACAGGCCACGCCGGGGCTGACGGGAAATGCCAGCGGAGGGACACGGTACCCTGGTTGTCCAGTGTGTTAAACGCCAGGTTGAGGGAGTGGATGCTGGAGGAGGGGTTCTCCGAGAGCGCTAGAGACAGCTTCTGGGGAAAGTCCCTGCAAAGAGTCACGCACACAGGCCGCATCTCAGGCATCGCACACTGAGAGACGGCAGTCGGACGTCAGCAGGCAACACAAGAAGGCAGCAAGCAGAAGATACTGTAGCATGATATTATCGCAGAATATTACGCTAAACAAAACTTGTAAGACATTCCACATGACGGCTCCTCATTAGGAGGTATTTTATATTTAAATACATTATCCTTGCGAAAAAGACAGACCCGTTCAGAAATAATTCATTAACACCTCCTGCCCAGAGGTAAAGCAGACAGTACGATTAACAGGTTCAAGTCTCCAACAGATAAATCCATTCTCAGGTGCAAATAGATGTTCAGATTGAGTGAGAGGGTCACTGGTGAGGAGACAGAGAGAAGGTGAGTCCGAAGAAAGAGAGAGAGAGAGAGAGAGAGAGAGAGAGAGAGCAGAGCCCAGGGTTTGAACCAATCGCTGGTAACTAAGGGATAAAACCAGTGGAGGAGCTTGAGAGCGGACTCACGATTTGAGGCCCACATTCTCCAGGGTGAGCTCCTCCAGGCTGCTGGATTTGCTGAGGGTATGGAGGACCTGTTCCACAACCTCGGAGCCCTGCGGGTGGAGAAGAGGGCAGGTTGTCACGGCAACACGGACCAGCACCATAAAACGGAGACATTCATGGGCCATGGGGTGATGGGATAGTTACGATGCGCATGTCCTTGCAGTAGAGCTTGGTGAACCACGTGTTGTATGCCATGGAGGCTACAATCACTGCAAGGTCCCTGGGGAGAAAAGCAGCACACAGCAGACAAAACTAAATCAAATCTATATTCAGTTTTCAGGTGCATTTATATACAGACACACCGGTAAACTTATATACAGGTGCACTCGTGCATTTATTTACAGGTACATTTATATGTACCTGATCCACTTTGCTAGTGACTCACCTGGTCTCTAGATGACTGAAGTCCAGCAGATTGAACTCCCTGTTATCTTGTGAGTGGTAGATGGTATCTACATCCTGGGAGACATCGAGGTGGCTTCTCAGCACTTTACATTTGCATTTACATAGCGGCAAAGCGTCCAAAGCGACGTTCAACTGAGGCAAATAGCACATTTCAAACCTACGTGCTGTAAAGGAGCCGACTAGCGGAGCTTCCACACAACAGCCCCTAACAAAGCACTGCCCTATAGGACCACTCAGGGCCAAGAAGCGCAACATTAGGAATATTCATGGAACGTACAGAGACATCGGGCTCGTAGAGGAACTTTAACAGAGAGTGTTGGTAAATGAGGACTGATCACTTAACACCAGACTGACTGACGGCATTGCAGAGTGCTTAACACCAGACTGACTGACGGCATTGCAGAGTGCTTAACACCAGACTGACTGACGGCATTGCAGAGTGCTTAA